AAGAGAGAGAGAGAGAGAGAGAGAGAAGTTGTATAGGAGTTCTTTAATTAATATATATAACTTAGTCTTGTAAACCCCAAAAATTATCAAAATAATTGGTAGTTTGCAAAATAATATTGGTAATTTGAACGAGAAACTGTCTTTGGTTTTCTTGTTGATAAAAGGTAAGTTAGAGCACTAAATAACGATAGAAATCCCCTTTTCTTTCAATAAATATATCTTTAATAGATATCTAAAGTAGATTTTTGCTATTAACTCGCCAGGAAGAGAAAAATTATGGTATTTTTTGCGCTACGATGTGAATTGGACCTTTTGTTTTGCCGACTTCATGGCCACAAAACAACGACTTTTTGTCGAAAAATATCAAGAATTTTTCAACGTCATTCTTGAAAAATGAATTTTTCTTGAAAGAAATATACTTTTAATAGATACCTTAAGTAGATTTTTGCTATTCATTCGCCAGAAAGAGAAAAATATGGTATGTTTTGAGGTCTTGTAGCAAGCGAAACAAGACTAAAACACTTCGTAGGTCTTCCCATCATAGCTCAAAAATACTATATTAATTCTCTTCCTGGCGAGTTAATAACAAAATTCTATTTCAGATATCTACTAAGAATATATTTCTTTCAAGAAAAAAGGATTTTTATCGTTATTTAGTGCGCTAACTTACCTTTTATCACCGAAAAATAGCTAAAATTCCGTAGAATGCCAGCCACAATGCCCGATTTGATCACGTGTCCTCTAAGTGCAAGTCGCCTATTAAAATAAGTTTTTGGGCCTGGTTCAAAATACATAAAAACCTTTTCCTTTTTTTTTTTTTTTTTTTTTTCACTTCTAAAAAATGGAGTAATTTACGATTTCAACCCCTAAGAGATGCCATGATCATCCCGCCCTTCCATGTAGGGGAGTACTCCCCACCTCGGGTTATAAAGCACCGAAAGAAAATGGACTTTAATCTCAGAGCAGATCAGTTTAATTTACAAAGTATGTTACCATAAAACACGTTGAAACACATCAATCGATCGCAGTAGATTCTGAGGTATATAAGGGAAGTGCATGCCAGAAAATCCAACTCGTAGAAGACGGACGTTTGACCTCTTTGTTCTTGTTTGTGCAGTCCTTTTTTGCGGCTATTGTTAATACTTGGCGATAAACAGGAAAAGGAAGTGGACTTTGAGCTCAGGCCAAATCCAGACAGTTGATACTGTAGAACAAGTTGCAGCATGCAACAGCAGTCTTTATAAGCATTGAGACCAGTGGATTTTTCAAGCGAAATTTATCGGTGCATGAGGCTAGAACAGTCGTCGACCAAACTTCACTTGCTTACAAGGTGAGTCCATTATTCTTTACCCAATGCACCCTTGTTAAAATTATCTTGAATATGAGGCTAACATGGAAATACAAAATTTCTTTTGTATTTTCATATTAGCCTTGCATCCATGATACTTTTAAAAAGGGTTCGCATGCGGGTTTTTTAAAATTTTTATTCTGCTTTCAACAAAAAGATCAAGTTTACCAATATCCAGAATAAGATCTTGAAATTGTAAATAGGAATTAAGAGGGCGTCTCTGTAACAGCGTGCCACTCGATCTGGGCTCGAAAAATAGATTTCTTTTATATT